TTAGTATATAATTATTAGAGCAAACGCCTCCACGGGAGTTGGCGTAAACTTCACCACTAAGCCCTTTTAAACACAAAAACAGATTTTGTACGTTTATTGGGGCTGAAATGATGTGTTTACACAATTGCACTTTCTTCTTTTGGCAGGTTTTTGATCACAACAACGACTCGTACATTGACCACGAGGAGATTAAGCGGACTATGCACTTCCTCGGTGAATCCGTGTCCGACGACGATGTTCGCGCCATGATTCAAGAAGCCGACGCTGATCATGATGGACTTGTTGATTTTGAAGGTTAGTTTTACTATATTACGGATTGATAATTAAGAAGGGAAAAAGGACAAAAAGAGTCTTTAACCTCGCCTCTTGTTGGCTTCAATTCCACTCAGCTTCGCCTCAAACTTTTGCCTCCTGCTTTATCCCCTTGGTCAGATGTTAGGCTAAGATCGACTTGGTAATTCGCTTTACCGAATTGACCTTTGTGGAACCCGTTTTGCGTCTCCTTCCGGGCATTTTTTTTTAGAGCAACGGAAGGCAGGCAAATAAGCATTTCCGTATTGGCTTGAAAATGGTGATGGAGGGGCTATGAAGGGCTAATCGTTTATTGCAATCTTTATTTGGCAATGAGTCCGTCCCAAACGATCCGCTCACCTCCATGACCAGTTTCCTTGACGTGTAAATGACGTCTGAAGGTACTGAACGGGGACTGACAATGAGAAAGTTCGTTTTAACACCAGAAGGTGGGAATTAATTTGATAATGGACAAATGGTGAAAGGAAAGAGAGTGGAGGTGATAGAAGCGTGAGGCAATTGTTTTCTTCCTCCCATCTTACCTCGTTTTTTCGTCTTCGAGTGTTCAGCACAACACGTTAGAGGGATTTCGGTTTGGTCACTTTGAGGCGTCAAGTTGAGTGAACGCCTGCAGTGTGTGGGAAAGCGCAAAGCTGTCACCGGTTGGGTCATTGAAGAGGAGGAGGAGGAGGAGGAGTTCTAATGGGGATTCTGTTCGCCGTTTTTTTTCTTTTAATGCTCACCTTCTTTGCCCATACCCACGAAAAGTGTCCTTGTCGATGGGGGACAAAGTTTGGCAACTTCTCAAGGCTGCTACTGTTTGTTAAAATTCGTACTCACTTTTCCCACAAAACTGATTGGCTCGCTATGCAGACCACTTGGCTTATCCAAGGTCGGATGCTTCACGTCTTGACTACTGACAAGAATGACTGCCGTGAGATAAGAACTGTCGTGGTTCGAGTTGGCACGGACTGGATTAGTGACGCGTTCACTCGTCGATTTTGTTGACGAGACACCTTAATCCTTATTTTAAGCCATTTTCACTTGCTTAATCGAGTCTTACCTGTCCACTTGCTGCCTTATTTGGACCGACCGAGGGCAGTTGAGTGAGGTATGAGGAAGGACCAAGTGATATCGTCAGGTAAAGGTCTCACTTTTCCATTGGTAGATTGAAATTTCTGATCTTGCGACAGAGGAGGTGACTATGACAGTAGGAGAAGGAAAGTGTGAAGGCTTTGATGGAGGACGTGAAACGTCCTTCATTTGTGGAGAAACTTTTAGGCTGACCAATAATCCTCCATTGTGACTTTGTTCCACTGACACCGTTTGACCGATTCCAGCCGTCTTGAAAGTATGAATGGTTGTCGGACGTGTCTAGCGCTCCCTTCTTTTCATTGTGGACATTTATCGTTTGTGCCTCGCTTTCTCTCTCTCGCTCTCTCTCCCGTGGCATCTGGGTGGGTCATTTGTATGCCATCTGTCCGCTCAAACCATCGAATTCGGAACACCTCCCTGTGGTGCCTGTATCATAGCTCAGCCTGTAAACTGGCATGTTCAACTAATTTGGAAGGAGGTATGAAAGGAATTGCGCTACTTGTGAGGTACATTGCACCTATGCTCCCTTCAGGAGCTGATGAAGAAGGTACACATTAAAATAAGAAAATGTTTGTAAGATTATTGATAATGAAAGAACATTCACCTTCGAAATGAAGCCCTTAATCGTTCATGTTTGATGAGCTAAGTCGTGTCAGGAGGTTGAGCCGGATAAGAAGGAATGCTCGGATCGGTTCTCGTCCTCCTCAGTGGATCGGGTAATCACCACCACGCCAAGCAGTTGGAGCAGCGTGGTAAACGATTGAGACGTTGGAAGGAGAATCCACGTCATGTAGATGCAAACGAGAGCCTTCCACATGCACGCATTGGGAAAGGTGGAGGTGGTGACGTTAGAGGTGCTTTCAAGGCAACGCATAAGGCGACACAGGAGACAGTCGATTTGACGGACACTGAAGTGTTAGCCTCTTTCCCATCTGTCATGCTTCAATCGCCTCCACCCAGTGCCGTGCGACTGGAGCGCTGACACACAGAAGCATTGGCACGGCATTTGGAGACAACTTTTGATAGAGCATGGCAAAGTGCGTGGAATGCCATCAAGTCACCCTTTTCATGCTCACTACTAGTTATAAGAAGATGCCACTACTCAAATCAAGGGACTGACTGACTGACAGACAGGCGCAGGGATGGAGAGACGAGGGGAGGGAGGGAGAGAAAGTGAGTAGTGATAAAGTGCAGGTGTTTTCAGAGCATGTGGCTACCTCAGCAGGACGCATGATTAAATTAACGATGTTGGAAAGGTGCTACTTAAAGTTGGTAATCAGTAGTATTTGTTCCAGATCGACTGTGTAACTCTAAGAACTGAACATTTGGCATGTTCACTTGCATTGCTTGGGAGCATCAAGTTTGTTAAATGAAGCCACTGGAAGACTGGCTTATACTTTCGGTGCTGAAGCAAATAAACCCTTGAGGTAACAAGTGAACCGGTAGAAATTGCAAATAATTGTTTATCCTTGGTACTATGTGAATATTTTTGTCTTTTTGCTGGTGCATAAGCCTTGCAAATTAACAACCTCCAAAAGTAAGACTTTTGTTCTGTCAATTTTTAGGCTTTTAGGGGGTTGACAAATTCATTACCTTCGCAAGCCTTTTTATCATTCACGAGTTAGTGAGTGACACGCAAAACAACGACGTCTCAATTGAGACAATTTTTTAGTGTCGGTAGAAGCTTATGGGCCCACAAAACTGTATCATCACTCTCACGCTTTCCACTGCGGAAGTCTTGCATTCTTCTCCATTCGAAGTGCCAAGCGAGGGCAAATGGATCAAGAAAGGGGTGGGGAGGGAGGGGAATTTCTCGAGCAGGAATTGTGATGAACAGAATAAATGGCATTCTCAAATCAGCCCCATTAGATTTGGTTTTGAAGCGAATGTGGAACAGTTTCTTATGCTTGTCACAAACCTCCAATTGATGAAGCCGCAGGTGGTCCAACTTCATTTTTGGGGGTCGAAGTCATGGGCTCCGGACACAACCCTGCGTTGTTTTCATTTCCCTCTCTCAGATCATCGCATGATGCAGGTTAAGCGATAATTGGAAGGAAAAAAACAAAATGTTTTGTTAGACAAGGACGCAGCCATCAAACAACTCTCATCAAGAATTTCGTGTTAGGTCGGAAATTAAATGTTTAAAGTGGCTGAAATAGTTTTCAGTAGTATGGTCTGTCCTTATAAGCGTTTACCAAACACATTGCACCGTCTCATCATCTAGCATGGCCTAATTACTGATTTTGTTGACAGTCTTCATCAACAAGCCTCGTCCCTTGAGCATTGGTCATTGTAGAGCAGAAAGGAGCAACCGAATTCGGAATTGTTACCGCTGTACACAGACTTGAGGTTGTTGACACCCTTCAATCATGGTTTTGCTGATCAGCACCTCGCCCCATCGTCCCAGTCCTCCCAAGGCCTTTTTGCTTTTTTTTAATGGCAATTATTGTTGACTTTGGTTTGGAAGTCAACACATCGCTGCATGCATGAATGCATTCACACGCTGGCACCGTCGCCTGCCACCTTGATTTAATCTTTTTTTCTTTTTGCTTGGTAATAACTAATGACCAGATACTAATTAGTACTATTATTGTTGGAAGCCAACAGTCTGTTTTATGGCACTTGGTGCCTTCCTAAATGTGGACTCAAAAGTCCTCAGTCGGAACGAGTGTGATTAGTGGGAAGGGGGCGAGGGTGTGTTTCACCACGAAACACAAACACAGGCTCTGTCAATGTTCCAATCCCATATAAGTATGACTATTCTTAATAAAAGTTTACCAATATTAACCAGTCATGCATAAAGCGCGGCAACTGATCTTTGTGATTTTTTTATTTGTGTGTGTGTGTGTGTGTATGTGTAGAATTTAAACGAATGATGCAGTTAATGCGACGACCAAAGAAACGGAAATGAGCGCACTGCCGGCAACACCGACACCGACTGCAATCAAGCGACCAAGAAAACAAAGCTATCTCTTGCTCAAATTCATTCCGATTAAATCTCCACCACCCACCGCCCCTCACCCCCTCCCTCTTCTGTTATTTATTGTTATCTACTTGTCTGTCTACTTACTGACCGATTGAATTGTGCAAGTCGTGAAGCACAAACAAAAAAATGGTAAAATGACTTTTGTACGAGCGTGGGGCAAAGAAGATTCTGCGTGACTGAGTGTGGGTGAGACAGCAAACAAAAAAAAAGCAATAAGAAAAGAAGAAAAATACAACTTATCCTTGCTCAATAGATCACAACATCGACACCACATAACACACAGAGAGAACAACAACAACAACAATAAAAGAGTCCTCCCAAGCACTCACAACGCTGTTATAACTTGTGTCCTTCCCTTCTCCTTCATTCCTACATCCCTAATAATGTGCTCTCGCCCTTGTCCTCTCCCTCTGCCCCATTTTTTTAGCGGAAGAGATGACAGAAACACACGTACACACACACACACAAGAAAAACACACTCACGTTCTGCGTCTTTTCCTTCCTCCAGGATTATCACTAAATACCATCTCTTATCATTTATTTCCTCTTCTTCAATGCCGCTGGATGGAGGGTGTTGAGTGGAGGTGACTGAATACTTGCGCTCACTTAGTGAAATGATGTGAGGTGACAGGAAGTCTGTCATAGTAGCTTTGAAAAGAAAAAAAAG